AGGTCTCTCCTATAACATTGCTCAGATACAGCCTGAAATAGTGAAACCATGGTCCTGTTTAAGTCACAGTATTTAGACTGAGCAAAACTCCTATAACTTCAAGGCTTGCACGTGTTTTTAGCCTAATTACTGCACCAGAGAGTTTGTTTATATAACAGGGCATGAATATAAAGTGACAACTCTCAAACTACTCTGTTGTATGCATTTCTCTGTAAAGCAAACTTAACAGTTCAAAGTATTAGTACTGGATTATGAACCACATTTTTTAAAAAGTTTTAAATTTGATTAAAGTGGTAGTTTAGAGAGGGTGAAAGTCCTCAGTAGCCCTGGGTTGTAGGAACACTATTAATAAAACTGCAAGAAGGTCTCCAGATTTTTCCATATTGCATTCAGCAGCTTTGGCATAGCTTTCTCAGAAATACCAAAAACAATGAAAATTCAGAGAAGAGAGATGAGAAAGGGTTATATTTTCCTGTGGGATTTTTATTTTTTCAGCCTGCTTTGGGTAAATAGATAATTTCATCCTTCAGCTTGTCTCTCCAGAGTCTTTAAAGAAAAACAACAAAATGACTGTACAACAGTATGATTTTTATGGAGTGGTAAAAAATACATCAGAGATGAGCAGCAAAAACAGAAATAAAATTATCTTATTCCTTCAATCCCAGGACAGTTTTCCTTTTGTTAAATTTAATTTCAGTGAGGGAAGCTGGGAGCTGTTTTCAGTTTGGTTTTTTCTGTTTGGTTTTGGCTTTACCTTTTCTCCAGTTCATCAAGGTAACTTGAAAGCTGCACCCTGGGACTCTGGGAAAACCAGCTTGTGAGCGACACCGCTTGCTAAAAAATACTGCATGGTTCTGTTTTCACAGCTGCTGGAGCCTGACATGGAGGTGGTGCTTTCCCTTCTGCATCCTGCATCCCATGAGTTTTGGGGATGCAGGAGAAGCCAAGACATTTCCCCCCAGCAGATTCCATCCCTGATCCAGGCTCAGTGAAGCCGAAGGGATGAAACAGAGGTGTTTGCAAGACCTCTTCCAACTTGCCTAAAAACTTGTTGAGAATCATTTGTAATGTTTATTTCTTCCCTCCTGTTGGCCCGTTCAGTGCCCAGATCCATGCAGAGCAAGCATCTCCCTCCCACCTGAAGGACTTGCCAAATGCTAATTGACTGTTAAAAACATTCACACCAGGGTACAAACGTTGTGCAGCTTTGCTGGCAGGGACCAGCAAGTTACTCCTGAGGCTGCTGCAAGCCAAGCTCCATAGGTCTGGGAATATGATGCCCCAACTCGAGTGGTAGAATAAACATGGCTTTGGCTTTTTGAAGTGCTTTCCACTTCCTATCATGGACTCATTTCAACATTCTTTAATGAATAACCTTTTCATAATTCTATTTCCTAAATGGCACCTCAGTCCATAAACCATGAAATAAAAAAGGTTCCCCCAAATAATTGCTTGACAAAGACTTTGCTTTTTAAATAGTTCATCCCATTGTTGCTCCTCAGGGATTTTTGCACCCAACCTGAAAGCCTGATAATTAATTTTTAAAAATAATTTTTAGATACTTTTTTCACCTTCTTTCTTACCATTTTTTACAAGGTGCATCAAGTCTGGCTTTGGGCAATCAAGAGTGTTTCAGATCCCAGTTCTCATGCAGAGAAGCACTTAAGCTCATAGCTCTTTAAGCACATGAGCATCTCTGCTGAAACCAGTGAGCATGATCACATGCATAAACTCTCAGTGAGAGTGTCATACAGCAGTACCAAGCATGAAAGTGAGAAGCAGGGATGAGAAAACTTCCTTTGCCTAAAGCAGGTGTTTGGCATTGCAACCAAAGAGACAGCGAGAAAAACACAAAGGAGCAAAAACAAGAGGTCATCCATTTCTGTTGAAATCCTTCCCTTTCTTACTTAACACCACTTTTTTGGGGTCTATGCATAGTAGATATATCCCTGTGGTACTTGATAAAATCTCCATCTGTGACAAGATGTGAAGTTTAAATACAAAACTAAGAAAATCACTAGAAACCTTATCCAAACATCTGTACATCCAGAGGACGAACGTTTTCCTTATCAAGGTAACATTTTTTCACATAGCTCTGGAAGGCTGTCTGTTATCCAACACTACACAGGCAGATAAGCCACTTGGCTGGAGGTAGCTAAGGGTGAAGTCAGACACCACAAGCAGTGATTCGTCTGCCCTGCTCTAAATGTTTAAGAGTCAAAAAAGATGATGTGCGGAGTGCTGTCGCACACAGACACTCTACACTTATGTATTTCTAGTAGACTAGGCTCAGTCCATGACTGGGCTCCCCATGTTCCCTGGTTTGCATGAGGCATTAGTCAGGTTAGTAGAGATGCCAGGATAATTCATATAGGAATGTGTCAGAAAAACCTCTTTCCTAATAGTTTATTTCATCGTATGAATTGATCCAATTGGTGCATTTATTTGGATAATCACTCATTAAAAAAAAAAAAAAAAAAAAAAGAAAAAAGAAAATGAGTACGTATGGCCAAAATAAGTTGGTGCTAGAAAAGCATCAACAAAGGTAAACATGTTCCAAAGAAGGGATGGGTATGATTTCAATATACATGAAGACAAAGAAGCTGAGCTTGGACTCCTGCCTCTGACGCTTGCTGTTATGAGGTAAACCCTATTTGGGCTTCAGATTTTAGGTTCATAAAATTAGACTGATGACATTTCTTGCAGTTATTTTTCTGGAATCCTTCCTAGGGAGTTGAAACAAACAGATGGGGTAGTGCTTGCACTAATTTTGTATTCCATCTCTTAAAACAGCTTTGATCTTGTTACCATTGGTGGAATCTCCATTATCCTGCACTTTGAGCGGGCTCCCTTCATCACCCAAGAGCACACACTGTGGTTGCCGTGGGATCGCTTCTTTGTGATGGAAACCATAGTCATGAGACACGAAGAGAATGAGATCCCAAGCTGTGACCTCAGTAACTTCGCCCGGCCCAACCCTGTGGTCTCTCCTTCTCCGCTCACTGCTTTTGCAACTTCCTGCTCAGAGAAAGGTCCTATTGTTCCTGAAATCCAGGTATGAGCTGTCTGAGCTGAGGGACAATAATTCATAAAATCATAGAATGGTCGTGTAGTTCCAGCCCCCCTGCCATAGGCAGGCACACATTCCATTAGACCAGGTTGATCAGTGCCCCATCCAACCTGGCATTGAATTGGGACTGGGGCATCCACAATTTTCTCTGGGCAACCTCTGCCAGTGCCTCCTCATCTCCATCTTCTTTCTGTGCTTCTTTTGACAGCTTTGAGCAACACAAATGCAACTATTCTCCTGCTTTCCTAACAATAAACATTCCCTGTTTGTTACCCCATTTTTCAGACATTTGTCAGGAGCACTCACTCCCAGGCACTAGCTTTACCAGATTTCTTTTCCCCTATCCCTGAGAGACAGAAGCAAAGCACTTGTGGCTGACAGTTCACGAGCTGGGACTCTTGTGTGACCAAAAACAAGCCCTTGGTCAGCCCTTTGGCATTCAGCATGCCCAGCACCAGGCTGATGCCCTTCTGGCTCATGCTCTAATGCCTGTCTTGTTCAGGAGCAAATTCCACCCACTGGGCACTGTAAACCTTGGTGGTGGAATGTTGGAGTGAACTCTCTCATTGTTGGAAGTCATACCCCCCTCAGCTCTACTCAGCTGCTGAGACATGCAGTCAGCCAGCAGATGGGTGAGAAGGGGCCAGCCTGCAGAGCACCTCAATTTTGTTGCATTTCATGACATTTGGAATGGATGAGCAGAGTGAGAGGGTTATGTTTAATTTCTCATCCCCATTTTCCTTTTTTATGGGTAAGTGTGAGTCAGATAAAGAACCTTAACAATCTGCTGTGACTTCAAAGTATTTTGTCAAATGGAAAGTTGTGTTTTAAACGGAATAGTCCAAGGAACCAAATTATAAATTTTTGCTAAAAACACTTAATTCTGTTCAAATATATGGATGTAGCAGCATTCAGCCTTTGCTGCCTTGGACGTGCTGTTCTCTGGATTTCATATGCCAGTGTTCAGCATGTCCTGAGTATTGCTTTAAGTGACAATAATCTGCCAAGGTGGAAATAATAACAAGTGTAGAGACAAATTGTGTGCTTCCAGCATGACTCCACTGGGGTTACAGTACTGTTAATGAGGAAAGAAGTAACTTTATACTTTCTAATTTTAATAAACCAGGTGCTAAACCCAGTAGTAAATAAAGCTAGTGGTGTCTTTACCTTTCTCTCTGGACCAAGTCTTATGATCCTTTCTCACACTAATTTCCAATTACAGTCCCCATGTTTATCCCAGCATAATTACTAATTAAGTCCTGTATCTTGTAAAGTCCATCATGTTATAAATTTTTGGTTCAGAATCTTGGTTTCCACATCTTTTTATTAAATAAACAAACACGATGATGAAAGGTAATGCTCAGTGCTGCCTGGGAAAAAAGCAAATATCTGATACAGTGCAAATATGATCATGACTTCAGTCATTTGGTACCACAAACATCTTCCAGTAGACCAGGCTGCTCAGAGCCCCATCCAACCTGATTTTGAATGTTTTCAGGGTTGGGGCATCTGCCATCTATCTGAGCAACCCGTGTCAATGTTGTTCTACCCTCATCAAAGATATTTAGTGCCATTTGAAATGTGCTGATGATATCCTGCTTGACTTCCAACTGCCAATCCAGAATGATCCCCCTATCAGTGTCCTGCGTTATAGCTTCTGGATCCTTTTAAACAGCAGATCACTTGGACATCCCAAGTCCCAACAGACACTTGTAGTTATAGAATCTTTAAAAGATTAATTAATCTTTAAAAGATTAATCTTTAAATTAAATTAATCTTTAAAAGATTAATTTTGAGATTATAAGGAGTTCACATGCAGTTGTCTGGATATGTACCAAATATCTGAACTCTTGTTTAAGTGGACAGAAATCTAACCATACATTAGAGGGGCCTGCACATCACTTAAGCTGACCACCCTGATGCTTTCTGGTTCTCACTGACAGTGTCAGTTAGATTCCACTGGCTGAAATTGATGGTATCAGTTTGATTCCACTGACTTAATGTGTGTGTTTACATCACATTGTTTATGTGATGTAGACATCTTATAAATATGCTCATGTGAGATAGTTCATGCTACCTCATGTGAGCATATTTATAAGTTGACATCCGGATTTAGGTGCCTTAAACTGGAATTGAATCCCACTCTTAAGTTTACAAGGCAACACCAAACTTCTAAAGAGTCTGTATCTGCTACTATCTGTAGGCAAGACCTAAAAGAGCAGTTCAGAGCAGACACCTAACTTAGGTTCCTAAATTGACATAAGATGAATCCCATACATGATGAATACAGTGCTTTTCCTGTGTGCCATATGTCTGAGCAAAAACCTGTAAATCAATATTCCACCCCAAATATTGACAGCTGAAGGTTAGCAGAGTTTGTGGTGCAGGAGTTTGCAAGAAAATCTGATTTGTGGCAGAGTCCTGACTGTACTGCAGTTCAGAAATGGACTACTTTTCATTTCTATACTGGATGTATGCACAATAAAAAATAACCTAGCTGTCCATTCCTGCAGCTGCATTTTATAATACCCAGTTCTCAGTAGGGAAATGTTAAATATAAAAGGTGTAAGCACATAGCTGGGAGGAGGTGAGAAGCAGATAGCAGGGCTAGGAAAGAGGTTTTGACAAGTGGGTAGATAAGAACCCCATGAGCTCAAACAAATAAATGCAGCACTCTCTACCTGACTGCATTCAAAAAACCTAGTAGTACATTTTTAATATTTGATTCAGGTGCCTATAGACAGATCTGGAGCCATTCAGGATGCCCTGAAGTGCCCCTTCAGGCCTCCAGCTGTACTTTCAGAAAGGTGGAGATGTCAGAAAGGTCCATGTCAGAGTTGTCATGCCCTTGCAGAAGTTTTGGATACCACAGAGTGTCTCAAAAGCACTAGATGTCTATGTTGAGGCCCCTGAATCAGACTCGGAATGTTTTTCCTTTCTAAAATTCTCTCTGGGCATCTTACAAAAGAAAAAAAAGAGAAAAAAAAATACATTGACTGTTCCTTGCCTGTTTGCTGGCAGGGCGAAGAGTAGCTGTAAGAGACGTGTAACCCAGCACACAGAAACAAGATTTCCTACCTTGTCTCATGCAATGAGTAGAAAAATTGCTACTAAGACAAGAGCAGATTCTCACCACAGAGCCAAGAGAACATGACAGTGAAAATTGTGATCCTGTGTAAATCCCCAGTAAGCCTGAAGAATCAGCTCTTCTGCCTGCCCAGACTCGTGGCTGGACCTCTTTAAAAGAGCAGATTATATTGGTTAGTCTGGGATAAACCCTAAGAGTGTTTCACAAGGCCTGCAGTAACAGCATATGAGTGTGTCTGGGCCAAACAGCAATTATCAAATAGAAATAAGGGCACAGTTTAGCTCTTCTTACTTATAGCACATTCAGATTATTTTAAAGCTGGTTTTCCCCCTTTTCTCCCACTGATATCCTATGAATTATACACCCCCCCCCCCCCACCAGTGCTGTGTTTTGTTGCTAGTTTGTCACCACTTACAAACTACAAATATGTTTTGAATTACTATTTGAACCCTCTCTGCAAGCAGACACCTTTAAACACAGCCCCTTGTGCTGTTCAGTGCCTTGGCAGCGTGGGGCTGACCTTTTCTTTGGAATGGTTGACAGCAGAGATAGATCATGACAGAGAGAAATAATTACTTATGACAAGAATCTGAAGCAGACTTTCTAAATAGTATCTCCAAGACAATTATTTTTGCCTGTTTTTATCCTAATGGGGTTACATATGAAGACAGATTTGATACAAGGAACCACCTTTACTACAGTTTTGCTCAGCTTGTCTCTGGTTGAGCCTGGTCCCCATCCAGCTTGTTGATGATCTCATAAAATATATTTTTAAAATCCTGGGTTTTCCCAATTCTGTCGTATTTCAGCCTCCTAAGCACTGAGATATGTAAATTAAAAAGATTGCATTAGAGAAGGTAAATATGAGCACAGTGGATTGGGGCTTTAACTGCTGGATGTATCTGTTTTCAAGTGTTGCAACACTCCAAGCCTTTTAGTTATCACTTTAAAAAGTGTTGGGCCTTGGATAACATCTCAGAAGAGGTGTTTTCAGGGGGTAGGTCATGAGATTTGTCATTTTTGATAACACTAACCAGGAAACCTTTAAGAGTTGAGCAACTCACTATGCCAGGGTGTGCTGCTCCCACATAGAAGGAGTTGGGTATAGGAGTCACATAACTTGTCAGGCACAAGGATCATGGAATCTGGAATCTCCTGAGTGGGAAGGGACCCACAAGGATCATTGAGTCCAGTTTCTGGACCTACAAAGGACACCCCAAGAATCACACTGTGATAGATGTTATCCCTTCCTGATGGGTGGATCTCTTGATCCACCTGCCTTCAAGCTTCCTCAGCCTTAATATTCAGAAGATGATTATTGCTAGGGATGCATTTTCCAAGTTCATTTAGGGTCCAGCACACTGAAGAACTTCAGAAATGACACAGGAGAGAACTGTGCCAGCTGTGACCTTTTAACACATCCCATTAGCAGACCAGGCTTTCCAGCTCACTGATAAGCTTCTACCTTCATTTTTCAATATTTTCCAGAGGTTGCTGACTTGTGCCAAAAATATCCAAGTTGGGTGCTTACCAACTTTCTTGAAAGTGACAATGTTTTTCTCCTAAGATTTTTTTTTATCAGCATCTTGCATGGAAAGATCAGCACAGTGTCAGGGATATACTTGTATTACTTTCCATAAACTTTCCAAGCATTTCTCTATTAAAAAAAAAAAAAAAAAATTAAGCTCTGGTGATACTTTAGCAGGTAAATTAACTGAAAATCCCATTTTTATTGAGACTTCTCTGTTCTCAAAGCAGAAAAGGTTTTCCCTAATGTTTCTTCAGTCCTTTCTGAAGTTTTATACTGTAATGGGCAACTATTAGATAACTGTCCCAGTCAGTCAGAAATGCCCACACTTATGGCTGTGGGGGGGAATAAAGCAACTCACTTAGAATACAGGGAAGTTTTGAAATGAAAGAGAAGGAAGAGTGCAAGGGAGCAGGAAGTAGTTGTAGGTGGTAGGTCAGGACAACAGTTTTATCACCTAAGTGAGAAGGCAAAGAATTTTAAGCAAGTACCAGAATAAGTAGGAACAAATGTGAGGTCAGAAAATAAGGACAAGAACACAGATTAAAAAAAGGCTAGAGGTAGATGGTAGATCAGGTAGAGAGGCACAGAGAGGAGATAGGAGAGGAGCAGTTTCAAAGTAGGAGAGATGGGTAAGTCAGAGGAGGGAGGATGTAATCAGGATTCACTAATGTCTTGGAGAGAATTGCATGTTATGGTCAGGACCAGGAAACATCCTTAAGGCCAAGTAGGGTGTGATATTTTACTGGGAAAAGGAAGCCAGGAGACAAAAATTAGAGGCCTCTAAAACCTATGATGATAAAAGACAGAAAATGGAAGTTAAACTGATGGGCTGTAATTATCTGAGATCCCAGGCTCTTTTCTCTGTGGGTCCTGGTACTCCTTTTAAGAGTGAGTCTCTTTGTAAACACTGACTTAATGTGACACTTTGTTGCCCTGTTCTCCCATGTAACAGAGATGGAGAAGGTGGGAGGCATTCCTTAGCTTCCAGAAAAAGTTATGTATATGATTTCATACTTGATGCCTACTAGGTGCCTTTTTAGACATGCCTGCCAGAGCTTTTATACAGGTGTGTTTGATAAATTACAGCTTCACCGCCTTTTGCTGTCTGCTCACTGCTGATTTAACACCTCGTGGATTGCTTTTCCACAGGCTCTACAAGAAGAGATTAACGTTTCTGGCAGTAAAATAAAAGTGAGTTACCTGAGCAGTCGCACAGCTGGCTACAAATCAGTGCTGCGGATCAGCATGACCCACCCCACCATCCCCTTCAACCTCATGAAAGTCCACCTCATGGTGGCCGTCGAGGGACGCCTCTTCAGAAAGTGGTTTGCAGCAGCTCCAGACCTGTCCTACTATTTCATCTGGGACAAGACAGATGTCTACAGCCAGAAGGTGTATGGGCTCTCAGAAGCCTTTGGTAAGTGACCCCAGGGTTTGTGCCTCCTTTTAGAAGCAGTGGCAGTGATAGACCCTGTCCTAGATCAGTATGATCTGACTGCAGGCACATGAATGGTCCCGGCAGATTTGCTGCAGCACACATTCCCCAGCAGATGAATCCCAGAATGTTTTGGGTTGAAAGGGATCTTAAAGACTATTTAGTTCCAATGCCCCAGTCATGGGCAGGGATGACACCCATTAGATTGGGTTGCCCAGAGCCCTGTCCAGTCTGGCCTTGAACACTTTCAAGGACAGAGTACAAATACTTATCTGTTCTCTGGCTCATGGCCCAGCACATACATCCTAAGCTGCTCCCATCATATTCATACAGAAGGAATTAACTGGAACTAGAATTGTTTGGCTGCCTCTCAACTGTAGCAAAAACTGTCAACACTGCTTTGAAAGGAATCCCTGGGACAGAGCCCTGATTGCCACTGCTCCTTGTGCCTGACCTTCAGGGTTGGTCTAATCTTAGTTTCCTCTTTGTTGCCCATTCAAGAATGCCATTCCATACTGGGTGTTTAGTGAGAAGAGGTGATGCAGTTCTGCAGCAATTGCTTCCCATCTGTCAACACCCAGCGGACATTCAGTTAAAGTTCTTCAACTGAGTCTAGTCTAGTCCCTTTAGGCTGCCAGGAAATGATATCAGCAAAATGGGAGAGATCCCAAATTAGAAAATACAGCTCCTGTTGACAGAAGGATGGCTCATTATGCCTCATAGCTCAACTGAAGAAAAGTCTTTTTATAGGAGTTGCAGGTTGCCTGGTTTTCCAGGAGTAAGAATAGGTGCCTTCTTACTCTCACTCAGGTTCAGCTTCCTTGAGCAGGCTGGATTTTACACCCTACTGAGCCTTACCCAGCTGGGAGTCCACATTGAGAAATGTAGCATATCCTGAAGGACTCTGTGTGCATGCTCTTTAAGATGCTAGATCATCAGTGGGACCTGGAGTGCTCCATGAAGCAGCTCTGCAGCTCCAGAGCTGCAGGTCTGAGGACGTCAGCATTCATGCCTTCAATGATTCCCACCTCCAGAACAGTGGAAAATATTGACCTTTCATATCCTAACTTACATCTTTTTCTGATACAATCTGCAAAAAGCTATGTTTGATGGTGAATCCTGAGTTCTCTCAGTGCTCAGCACTTTTCAAAGAGGCTGGTAAACTTGTACGATCAGACAGGTTTTTTTTATATCTAGTAGGAAAAAAAAATCTATGTAATTGCTTTTCATTTGTGTGGAACTTGCAGTTCTGCTCTGCTTCAGCTGTAAAGATTAGAAGAAGAAAAGCAGACCAATGAAAATGGTCCTGCTTCTTCTGAGAAAATCGTAAAGGAGTCATTATTCGGTCAAAAACATTCTTTTCCTTCTGTTGACATATTTTTAAGCAACTCCAGCGTGTTCAGTGGAGTTACTCCTGAAAGACTCTGATTAGACTTCATGGCAAGCAAACTTTTGACATTGACAATTACCATAAGTTAACCTGGCTGAGACTGCTGCCTCTGAGGGACTCACTGCCCCATGCATGAATTGCACAAGTTTTTATCTTCCAAGAAAGACCATAATCAAAATTAAGTTCCTGGCATGCACTCTTTGAACAAAGAAATTACATAGGAGTAAAATTCTCCCATTAGAGAGTCCAGCAGTGGTTTACACTCTCAAATCATAGCATATCCTGAGTTGGAAAGGACTCCCAGAGATCAAGTCCCAATCCTAGTATTTATTGTTTAAAAATACGTCCTTAAAGCAGTGTCTTTTGACTTTTTAGCACATTTGCCCAACACAGACAACAGCACTGACCTTTTTAGATGTGGAACAGACTTTTAAGAGGAAAAAATATTTTGACTGTGCATTATGATGATGACATTTTCAATTGAATTAGCAGTTTTCTGTAGAAATGCTCTTACCCCTGCTCAATTGCAACTGTGTGTCCTGGCACTGCATTTCTGGGTTACTAATCTAAGGAGCCTTTTGTTTCTCTCTTGTTCACAGTTTCAGTAGGTTATGAGTATGAATCCTGTCCAGACTTAATCCTGTGGGAGAAGAGGACAGCTGTGCTTCAGGGTTATGAAATTGATGCTTCCAAACTTGGAGGATGGTCCCTGGACAAACACCATGCCCTCAACATACAAAGTGGTAGGTTTTCTGTGACTCATAACAGGAGTAATGCAGCATTGCAAGACCCAGTTTCTTCTTATCACTAGGAATTCAAGAAAAATAAAGGAAAGAAACCTGACCAACACATGTGCTCTCTCATTTGTTTTACTAACAAATTATTTCCAGTAACCTACATTTAGAAGAAATTTGATGTGCAAAATGTAAAAGAAGCTGGCCATCATGAAGTAGTTGAATGTCAGCCCAACTTTGTAGTGTCGTAAAAGAAGGGTGTTAACAAGGAAAATATTCCTAAAATAACAAAGGGGAGCCTATTTATATTGATGCTCTCACTAAGCATAAATCCACCCAGAGGCAAACTCCAATATTCAAAGTCTACTTGCAAAACAAGAGGCTTCATGGGTCCTAAAGGAGAATGGAAGCTTCCAAAGTCCTTGAAGACTGCTGAGGACTGCAGAAAGGAAGCTTAAAAGCTAATCTGAACATGTTCAAGGGTGGAAGCACTGTGTCCCTTTGGATAATAGTGGTATGGGAGCAAACATCTCATTCAACCCACATCACTGCTGAGAGTGCTACACTTAGTGGGAAAATAGGCAGAGTGCCTCTAAAACTCTGCAGATTAAACACTTGTCTAGAGAATGTTCCATGGTCTTCCTGGCCCTTACTTTTCCATGAGCTGTGTAATTTCCTTGGGTTTTTTTAGCTGGTAGACTGCAAATTACAGGGCAAGGAGGAACAGACAGGGCAGGTAAAAATTCGTAAGATGCTGAAAAGTGCATGTCATTCAAAGGTAAAGACAGTCTTGTTCTCCCTACATATTTTGCTACAGCAGGAAATGTAATGGGTCTAAAATAAATATTTAATTCAGAAAAGATGTTCCTCATTTGAAACTATCACAAAACAATACTATGAAAGATGATAAACCTTCTTGCTACTTAACAGATTTCCCAGCCGGCATGCAGCATTGCCAGTTTGTGCTCCCTTTGGCCCCAGTCTCCCTGTTTCTTTAATTTTCATAATACTGTTTTCTCTCTCTCTCTAGGCATCTTGCATAAAGGAAATGGGGAAAACCAGTTCATTTCCCAGCAGCCACCTGTAATTGGAAGCATTATGGGCAACGGCCGCAGACGGAGCATTTCTTGTCCAAGCTGCAATGGTCTGGCAGATGGGAACAAGCTCCTGGCTCCTGTTGCCCTAACATGTGGGTCTGATGGAAGTCTTTATGTTGGAGATTTCAACTACATCCGAAGGATCTTTCCCTCTGGCAATGTCACCAACATACTGGAGCTGAGGTACTCTGTGCTGAATGTGGCTGTTAGAGTAATGCTCTTAAGTTCTGCAGAAATCATATGTACCCAAAAGAAAAATGAGAAGTACTCTTAAAAAAAAAAAAAAAAAAAAAAAAAACCAGCAAAACAGAGAAAAAGCTGTCTGGATCTGCCTCTTCTGCAACTCTGCTGACTTTGATTTACACCAGAGAAACATGGGCCTAGCAAGTTCTTCCAGAACTGAATCACATGCCAAAAATATTGACATATTTCTGTGCTGCTAAATCAGGCTGTGCTGATGTCTGCCTTTTCCTGTAGTCAGAAACCAGTGGGAATGCTGAAAATTAACAAGCAGCCTCTGAGAAAACCTAAACTTGGAAGGACACAGCACTGATGATGATATGTAGAGGTGAATCAGGACTGATAACCACTCATAATTTAGACAAGATGATCACTTTAGGCATTCACAGGCTGGGGTTTTCTTGTTGTTTTTTGAGGGGACAGCTGTAGCAGCCCCCTTCAGTTCCCAACTGAACATGCAGATGGGGAGCATCTGGAAATAAGTGGAGAGTTTCCTTTTAATGTCAGAAAGCAAAGAAAAAAAATATACCAGGAGAAATAATGAGAAAGGGTCAGGAACATCAATTAAAAACAATGAAGCAGAGGGAAAAGTATGATTTGTCACAAGTTCTGAGAAAATGGAATATATTGTGAGTGAACCAAATTTCAGATTGATCTCACTGGGGATATTTTTCCTATCTAAAATTTCCACAACAAATACAAGAATTCACTTCAAAGCAATGGGGCCTGGTTCTGGGCTTTGCATGGCCAGAAAAACCTCACTCCAGGAAAGTCAGATAGAGTTAAGGCAGTGTTCCTGAGTGAGTCTTCTGTGCTAGACAGGCCTGAACTCAGGTCCTGAGAAGTCAATATGAGGACACCTGGTAGGAAGGGTCAACATTGCCATTCACCTCTCAAAATCTGGCCTGAAAGTGAGAATCTTCCCAAAAGTAAGGCCCTCCCTCCTCAGATTTAATATCCCCTGCTGCTGAGGACAAACATAATACTGCATTTCTGCAAGGACTGCAGCCAAATTTATGCAAGATCCCCTTCGTCCCTCGTGCACAAACATGCCATAGTTGTTAGACCTCGCCAGAAGTCTTATTTAGCATTCAGAGCATCTTTGTAGCTCATGGTATATGAAAAAAAAAGAAATCCAGACAGCCACCACCAGAAGGCTGGCACTTACAGAATAGCTGCCTTGGTATGGGCACCTCAGAGGGCTAGGACACCTTTCAAGTAAGAAATCAAGAACCTCATTTTTGCTATTCTGTTCCATGATACATGAGAACATAATATCTCTCATGTTTGTAAGGTGGGAAGCTGGGATATACCTTCAGACCTGGTCCTCATCAGAGTGTAATATCTATCCTTCTATTGCCAGAAAGTTATTTTAATTACCGAAGGTGAAACTTCCAGAAGAGCCTAGGTGAGCCCAAATCCCATTGCAATGGAGTAGGATTAATAATCTCTTTCTCCAAAGTACAATTTTGAAAACCCAATCCCCATTTTATTGTCAGTGGAAATACCAGACCAAACAGAGGTTTTGCAAAGTATTTCCTCACTGGGGAAGAGAAAATTGGAAGCCTTGACAGAGTAGCCTTTGCTGGCTGTTGTGTAGAGCCACAGAGTTAAATTTACTCCGGAGTTAAATCTGCTGCAACGATTGCTGCTTCATCTGTGCAAACACTCAGGTTACTGGATCTAATAAACATTTCTTCACTCTGGTGTGCTATAAAGTAAGTGGGTTCAGATGCTGGCTGGCTAAAAGGAAAGCCATTGCTTTTGGACTAAATGGAGTTTGCTTGTGTCTTCTCAAATCAGCATCTCCTCTGAGATTAACACCCTCTCTGTTTGGCTCCGAGGTTTGTTTGCAGGAGTGGCTTTGGAGAGTTAGTGTTTTGGGAAGCAAATGCATTGTGGGTCACAGAGAGCTGCAGCTGGGTGTGTAACTTAGACCTATGAAAAATGTCCAGCTCAGCATAATTTCAGTTCTCTGGGCTGGAGTTCACAAGGTTACAGCAATGAACTGCCACCTGTAACTGTGCAACTCTTAAGTTACCTTTGTAAATCACAAGGTGTTGCTTTGACTGAAGGTGAAAAAAACTGTAAAGATACCTGCATCTACATCTGTTTAGCTCAGTGCTGCACTGAATGATAGATAAAGTCTGGTAGTCCTATCTCTTGTGTGAGTGAATAACTCTAAGCAGGTGAGATCACACTTCTTTTGTGGTATGCAGCAGTACATAAGTGAGCTCACTGCCAAGTAATATCCAATATAAAATATATCAGTGTCATTCCAGCTAAGTCTTTATTTATTATTGCATTGTGTGATACAGTTACTGTCAAGTTTTCAATCTGCTAATAATGCATCGAACTGAGCTGCTAACACCTCATTCTTTCTTCTATTCCCTGCTTTCCTGTCTTCTGTCAGAAATAAAGATTTCAGACATAGGTAAGCCAACCAGTGGAGAATTCTTATGCTGCTCCCTGTCTTGTTGCATGTTGTTACACAGTGAGCCACAAGTGCCATTTCCAGATGATTCAATAGCAAATGAAGCTGGCGTGATTAAAACTGGCGTAGGCAATCAGTCATCAGAACTGGGAGCCATTAATCACAATGTGAGCCATGCAAGCTTCTGCATGAGCTGTTATAGCTGGAGACAGGGGAAATACCAGCAGGAGAAGCAGGGTAACAGGAGGAGGAGGGGGGAAGAAAAATGGATGGGAATTAACCAAAAAAGTAGAATGGGAACAGCATCAGGATACAGATTAGGACCAACTAGGATGGAAAAATAATTCTCATACAGTGAAAAGCTTTCATTTGAGTTTGAGGGATTTAACAGGCATAATGAAGATCTCTATGTGCCCCAGCATCACCCACCCAGGGAAGTTCATTTTTGTAACATTTTTCAGTCTGAGCTTTCATAGAGAGCTTTGACACGTGAAAGTCTGTCAGACTCAAATAGGAGGTAGTGCAACTCAGAACCTTAGCCAGGAACTGCAATAAAAGAGTAATGACAAGAAAACAAGATAAAAGAGAGACTCTTAAATTGGAGCTTTGTCACTAAGAATATTTGTCACTTGGGTTCACTGGAGTTTCAGTGGGTTTGATCCAATCAGTTGCATTCCAGAAGATGTCAGCTTCCTGTCACTGACTGTGTTTGCAAGGACTTCTCTGACTCTGACAAGTTTCCCAACCTTCTCCCTGGTTGCTTTTCTAAATCAGTAGTTTAGACTGTGTGGAGTTGGGATTTGTGTGTGTGCGTGTGTGTGTGTGTGTGTGTGTGTGTGTGTGTATGTGTGTGTGTGTGTTTAGTTTTCTTTTGCATTTGGGATTGGGGATTTTTCTTGCTACATGCTTTTTATTTACTTTTATTTGACTTCATAAAGGCTATGCTAAACTAGAAATGTTCTTTCATCTGCATGCCTGGAAATGAAAAGGAGTAGAAACTGATTATTTTATCCTATTGCCAGAACAATAATGAAGGGCTGAGCTTCACATATAATGGACTGGCCCAAAGCATCTATTAGCAGGGCTAGGAGGTTGGTACTCAAGACCTTTTCACTAATTGTCCTCATCAGGCTGAGTTCCAGCCCCCCAGGTACTCTTTCACATCATTTGAAGGCTATAGAAAAGTTAATTTCTCTTTGAACAGCCAGGTTGTATCCCTAATGCCCAAGAAATACACAGCCACTAAAGTGCATCTGTTTGACAGTGAAGGGCAGCAGCTGGATACCTGTTATGAGAAGAGGTTTTGTGTATGAAAGCAGTATCTGAAGGAAGATCAATGGACTGGCAACAAACACTGCAGATTGGCAAGCAGAGTTGGCAGGGCTTCAGCCTTTAAGCAGTTTCTAAAAACTAAGAAATTAAATGAAAGAAATCCAAGACATACTTACTTCAGTGTAGCCCAAAGGGGATAAGGGAGGGAGGAAGCAGGTGAGGAGCTCCAGCGCAAATCCTCCCATCTGTGACTGTGTTGAAGGTGTCACCCATCTCTTAGTGCTTGTTCTGTGACATTTGCTTTAATACTTCTTGCTAGGAAGTCTCTTTGCTACTGACCCTCGAGGAAATGCGTGGGTGTAGTCTCAGCTAAAGCTCCAGTGCTTTAAACTCCAGGTCCTAGGCTTGACACCAGTGACCAGCAATGGTGCAAAGGGGGAGATCCACAGGGCTGAATTGTAGTGGTTTGGAAAAGCTGAAATCCATATGCTAAAGCTGCCTCAGTTCAGGAGAAAGGAATTCCTTCCCAGTATGTAGGCTGTGGTGAGCTTGATCTCCAAAGGTTCTTGAGCGACCCACTAAGAGGCTTGGCTTTGCAACTCTGTGTGCGCAGCCAAGGTCTAACTCTGCAACAGCCTAAATGAGGGACACTAGCTAAGCAAAAAAGTATCACCAAACCCTGATGCCTTCTATGCAGGAATGTGGAGGGCAGTGAGGCATTTCTGTCTTGGAAATATACAAAAACTGGGCACTTAAATTTATTCTTCCTTTCTTGTTTCCATTTATACTGTAGAGAGAAGTCTACAATTAGTGACAAAGAGAGGTATCTCAGCAAACAGCTCTAAGATTAGACAAAATGTCCCTTGCCATCTCTGGCTTGGCTTATGGCATTGTTACAACATTTTAATGTCCAGCATGTCACACTAGAAGAGCTTTGGGCATCACACAGAAACTGCAAACACTAAAAAGCCAAGCACAAATCCTGCTCACACTGTGCACTGTGTGGCCTCCTTAGGCATTAATCGAGTGTCATCCAGGGAAAAAAGATCAGTACCTCACACAAGCTACAATTAAATCCTCTAGTTCTGAGCTGCAAGGTGCTTAGCATGGAGCCATGGAAACACAGCCCCGCTGAACAAAAACCTCCTGACTGCAGGATTTTGGTGGTTCTTTAGTCACCAGCAAATGTACATGGCCAGCAAAGCTCAGAGGGGAAGTGGATAGCTGGCACAGAAAAAGGGGTTGTTTTGTGTCCTTAAACAGAGACATCAGATCCAAAGAAGCCCTAGGGGTTTATCCAGGTCAGTGGTTGTGGGTAACTAATTTTGGTGGTGTGCCTGCTCCTGTTTGCTGACCACAGTGGGAGCCAGAGCTGTGCAGTTACCAGTAATAGAAGTTGTCCTTCTAGGAGGTGACAGATGTCCTTGCATTTGAGAAACTAAGATACAGTAATCTTGTAAGACAAATGTTGAAAATAGTAAGACAAATCCTACTCCAAAAGGTGATACTTCTCTCCACTGCTTGTAAAGGGAATTAAGGCAGCCAGCTCTGATGTAAGCGTCCACTTTGTAACCATCTAAAGCTTGGTGAAATTAATCCCCTGGCATTTTACAGAAACCAATAAAAAGATATATTCTGTTGTGCTGATGTTTTGTAGGGAACCTGCTGAAAAAAGGGACCAACTCCCTTTTCTTATCTCTTTTCCTTAGAGACTGGCTTCCCACTCTGGAGCAGGAGGTTCCTTCCTAGGACTCCTCCAAAACATGGGCTCTGGGCCCAAAGGGGGAATACCAACCTTTGTTCAAAGCCTGTGTACATATCACAGTGCAACTGAAGCAATCCACAACCAAGCCTCATGCCTCTGCCAGCTCACCCAACTTTATATCCCATTTCTTCCCTGTGCCTGTGTCTAAGGAATCACATAAAGCACAAACACTTTAAAATAGAGTCTGAATCTCTTAACATATCTGCAGAGCTCCCTAAATGATACTGGTACTATCCTGTCCAAACAATGAGAATGATAAAGGGGAGAAAAGAGATGTATGGAAGGGACTATACACAACCTCAAAGAGGTGGGATCACTGTGGACTTGGAAGATACCACTGTGTTTTCCCAGCACATCACTGTGTCGCAGGTATACAGGGAAGCAGTATCACCTCCATTTCACTTTGGCCTGCAGAACCATGAAACTGTTCTCTTTCCCAGTGACTACACCATCATGCCCACTAATACCCATCAAAGTGTCAGTTCTTGGCTAGGGATGAGCCCATCCCATCACTGCAACTTCAGTATTATTACCTCAGGGGGTTTAAAATATCAATGCATTGCCCAGGGTTTCTTTAAAAAAAACTGTAATAGCTCAAGGAACACTCTGAATGGGAAATCAGCTCTTCCTCCACAGTCATTTTCTAGTGGCAGTGCCAATATGGGGGATAAATACTCTAAGACTACAAATAGTATACCCAATCAAGTCTTTTGAATAGTAAAAAAATTTGTCTTTTGTTTTGGACTGTTACCTAGCTGAGAAATAAGAAATGCTTCAGCCCAGGCATATTTATTTCAGTTGCTGTTTAGCCCAGTCCAGTTTACAACTTGGATTTGCCTACTGATTGTGTCTTTAAATAAAAAGTGAATCCCCAGTGTTCCTGGCTCCACTGCTCATGCACTATCACAGATAAACGGAAGCAGTTTGGGAGATTTTACATGACCAATGTATGTTTATTTAAGCATCTTTCACCCTGAAGGATCTCAAAGTGACAAAAAAAAAAAAAAAAAAAACTCCAGTGTATAACACAGTGCAATTCATGCCAGGGCAGAGTGTGATACTAACTCTCTGCAGTGCTAAAAACAGTTGGCAGAGGCTAGGGGGGTAAATTCCAGCTTGACCATTTTAACAGGTCGTTTTAGCATCTATTCTTACAAGAGCTGGGAATAGAAAATTGTTTTAAGAGCTCTCTTTTTTACAGAAGATTGTAATCAATAATAAAATCCACCAGAGTGAGGCTGTGCAATCCAAAAATAAATCACGACAATATTGCTGGGAAAGGGGAGCAGGAATTTCTCTCTGCCCCCATTTTTCTCCATCTCTGGGTAAGTCATTTGCCTTTGCCCATCTGCAGATAGCACTGCACGAACACCAGTTTCAGGACTGTGTCTATAACAAGATAGCCTGCTCTAAAATTCTGGGAAAGTTAATCTGTGCTTGCCAATCAAAGATGGTAAAGGATAGCAAAGTGCCATTAAAACTGTCCTCCTCTTGTCCACCTCCCATGCAAAACAGAGATTATGAACAGCTCAAGAGCTTACTGACATTCAGCAGGTCTTTGTTAGGACAGTCAGCAGAAAATACAAGGCCCTGATCAAAATGGATGATGGATTCCCACAGGGAACTTCTTCCACCAGGGTTGAAGCCACTTGCTTAGTGTGAGTGACATGCAGGTAAATGAAATAATACCCTCCCAGCCTGCTGTCATTGGGAAGGAATACAGATGCAGACTGAACTGTCAGGCTGGAGCTGTCTTGAAGGTCAGAGCATTTTATTTAGCAAGAATCAGTGTCATTTTTGGAGATGAAATCTGTTCAGAGTTTAATAGGATAAATCACAAGGGATATTCCAGAATAGGTGCTTTCCCCCCACCCCCATAGTATTAAATAATTTGAATGAAGAACCAATTTACTGGATTTTAAAGATGAGAATAAGTCAGTAATTTTTACGTGTCTGAAGAGGGGGTAATTTTCCTAACATAAAGGTTGAGAGGAATTTTCTATATGCAGAATAGAGTCAAATGTGATTGACACTCAAGTTTCCAGTCCTGGAACTTCTCCTGGAACAATTCCATTAAGTGCAAAAATGTGAACTGTGGCCTAGATTTTTATTATTAATTCTTTGGACTTGATGAGTTTGGACAGCTTGAAGATGTTTTGGAGAAAAGTAGATACTTTTCATACTTGTTCTAATTACTACTTAGGCTTTCTTAGAAGGAAAACAAATCTGTTCAGGAAAGATATTAAAAGTCTAACCTGTTGGTTTCAGGCTTAGAAGAGATGCATCTCAATACACACTAGTAGTCAATAATTTTGATAAAAGATATTAATAACTGAATTAACTATGTTAAGATACAGGTAAAGTTCTTGCAAGACAATCATTTAAATTTTGTCTAAACCCATCTGGTTGCTTTTCTGGCCAGTCCTATTGGATACTTTCCATAAAGTGGATTCTAGTTTATTAATTTTGTCAGTCTTGGGCTCATTTAGTGTTGCAATCATGAAGCTAAAAATATTATAATTCTGTCTGCTCATCCACCAGCCTTTCTTGTGTCCAAGGAAACAGTGAGCAGAGGGTGTTCAACAGGGGACTGACATTCAGGTTCCTCAGCTAAATACCAGTTCATGCTTTACTTGGGGCAAAATGTGCCATTCAGGGAATTATTTTGTTTCTCTCATCACTGAGGTTCAGCTGAATTCAGTGGCAGGGTTCCCTTAATCTCCTTGAGGGCAGAACAGAACTTTAGAGTCTTTGCTGGAGTCAGCAAGAGCACCAGATGAACCTTGATGCAGTGATCTTGAAGGGTCTATCTTCAAGTGCTTCATACAGGGAGTTTCCTTTTGGAGTCTTTGTTGGGAGGGCAGATTTTTTTTTCATTATTATTTGTTTTATTTCCCTACTGTCCTCTGTTTTCCCTTCACTTCCTGGCACTGCACGAACACCTGTTTCAGGACTATGTCTATAACAAGTAAATTAAGCAAACGCCGGCCGTGGAACTCTACCTGTAGTAGTTCCTGGCATGGTTTTGGCTCAAACTCATACCAGAGAGCCCTTTCCTTTGGTTGATTCCCTCCATGCCAGAGAGCACCCCAGGCACAGTGATTGTTAATGGATACAGCTTGGGATCCCGTGTTGTAACACACCCTGTACTAACCTTGTCCAAAACAGCACTCCTTCACTTTCCCAGTCTTTCTGCCCTGTGCGTTTTTGTTCTCTAAAGTGTTTGCATTGCCTGTTGACTTAAGGAAACACATCATCCAAAAAATTAATGATGTCATACCCTTGTTTTTCAGCCACAGCCCAGCTCATAAGTATTACTTGACCACAGATCCGATCACCGGCTCCATCTACCTCTCGGACACCAACAGCCGACGTATCTATAAAATCAAATCAACCACATCAGTGAAAGACATTGTGAAGAATTCAGAGGTCTTGGCTGGAACTGGGGATCAGTGCCTCCCATTTGATGATACCCGCTGTGGAGATGGAGGCAAAGGCACGGATGCCACTCTTACAAATCCCAGGGGTGAGACTGCTTCTTCTCCACTGCCTTTTTTAAAGGGGGCTTTTTGAAAATAGCTTGTTTAGTCACACTGGAGATTGCTCTCCTCTCCAGTTCTGAAACATATCCTAAGGGCTTGCTCCTGGAAATAAGTGAGTATTTCTCACCCTCACTAGTCGTGTCATGGTTCTTCAAATTCATATGGCTGGGAGGAATGTTGAGCCAGAGAGGTTCAGTGATGGGCATGTGTTCAGAGGGCAATGGAGTAAATCCACCCATGGAAATGTCAGAGCATTTCTTTTCATCTGACACTTTTATGCCTACAGAGCCACTACTCCACCTTACCAACAGTGCTTGGTCCCTCCCAACCTGGTCAGGAATCACTAACATTCAATTCACTGAGGCTTTCTTGGCATTAAAAAAAAAGCCCTAAAAGCATTGCTGTGGATAGATAGATAGATAGATAGATAGATAGATAGATAGATAGATAGATAGATAAAAGGGCAGCAAAAGTAGCATACAGCTCAGAGATACTCAAATGGTGGTTTAGACATTGACATTACATATCACAGCATGCAGCTTAAATCCTGTAGGGGTGGATACTTAATTTGATATAGGAGTGGTGTAATTCAGCTTAATTTTACCTGGTTCTAACATCCTGAAATGTGATAAAAGCACAGTTGAATCAGAATAAAAGCATCACACAGCCTTCATGGCTGTGAACTAAATTGTTCAAAACAGGTTTAGCCAAACATATGCAGTCCTGTGTGTAGCCAAGACTTCAGTCTGGCAATCTCAAGGTAACAAGCTCTGCAGACGGAGGATGTCGCTCCTCCCAGCTGTCCACAGCACCTCAGGAAAAAAAAAAAAAAAAAAAAGAACACACTGGGGGATAGAGATGAGGTGAAGGGGATAGAGATGAGGTGGAAGACACTGCTTTTACACAGATTTTCAGCCATGTTTGTGAAGAGGGCTGGGAAGGACACCCATGCAGGAATGTTTTTTGAGATGGGGTATTTTTGCCTGTTATGTATTTTCCTCTGCACAGCTGTTCAGAGTGCAAGGAGTTATTTACAGGTTCTTGGCTTTGACATCAGTGTCTTGCAGGTTTTTTTTTTTCATTGTACTGGGGAGTGGTAGCTCCCTCCTTCCTCAACACAACAGTGGCCAAGACTATCCCAACCTCTTTGTAAAGCAGCCCCACACCAAAACCCAGGGATCCTTTAACAATTAACATATAAACATATAAATTAACGTAATTAAATTAAAATGGGCTCCTGCCCATGGCAGGAGGTTTGGACCAGATGACTTTCAGAGGCCTCTTCCAACCCAAACCATTTGTTATGGATGTTATGGAAAGTTATTTCAATAAAAGCAAATGAGATTCCCAAAGAAGTTGTGGCTGTCCTGTCCCTGGAAGTGTTCAAGGACAGGTTGGATAGGTCTTTGACCTACCTGTTCAAGTGGAAGGAGTCCCAGTCCATAGTAAGGGTTTGGAACTAAGTTATTTATTTTATATCCCCTCCAACCCAAACCCTTCAATGATTCTATGATTCTCAGGAAGTTATTTTTCATGACATAGAGATGACATTGTTGTTACTGAATCCAGGAACCTCAAACTGATTTAATGAGCTTTTGTGCCAAGTCTGGCTGTGATTTTTTTTGTTTTGGTTTGTTTTGGATTTTTGTTTGTTTGGGGTTTTTGTTTTTGTTTGGGTTTGGTTGGTTGGTTGGGTTTTTGTTTGGTTGGGTTTTGTTTTGGTTTTTTGTTTTGTTTTGTTTTGTTGTTTTTTGGGGTTTTTTTTTGTTATGTCAGCTAGTTGTTTCCTGGTAAGGATGCAGGAAAATGTACTTTGGAGGACCTATTTTTTTACCACACTCAGACTTCTATCCCTGTAATATTCAAAGAGTCCAGCATGGTTTCCAAGCACTCAAGAATCCCATGAGTTAACCATTATATTGGGCTAAAGTATTGCCAGAAGCACAGATAAAGTAAAGGAACAGCTACTGGTGGTCAGTTTGTAGTGTAGAATTTGTCTCATTGAAATGCGAAGGCTGACTGAAAAGAAAATTAAGTGACTTGGGCAGAGAGATTCAGGCAGTCCAGCAGATGAATCATGAGATCAGGGAATCCAGAAATCTGTAATCCAATTTTCTGCACCTCTTTGAAGTTCAATCAGTGCAAAAAATATACCCCACCACTTTTGTTAGTCCTCTATTCTCCCTTGTACAAGATAAGAGGAATATTATTCATTTCCATCCATGGGTGAATGTTACAAGGTTTAGATGACTTATGTTTCTGCTTTGCTATAGCAAACAGCTCTGGAGTTCAAAGTTTTCAGCACTGAAATCCATCTTGTTGGCAACTGAGGCTCTCAGGAGGCCATTCTTCCACCTCAATCATATAACAGCAAAATTCATGCATTCATTCCTCATAGCTCCAAAATTTCACAAAACAAAGTAAATTGAGGGTGAAAGAGGAAATGACATGAAGCAAAATGACAAGAAGAAAATAATAATGCAGAAAGCCTGCACTGCCAATAGAAAGTTCCTAAATAGTGTTCTCTGATCTGATTCTAACCTGACTTTGCAAATTCTGCTGAGGCAATGGTTGTGGCAGGTGTGACTCATTCCCCAGTCCTCTCAATAAATGATGAACAGTGAAAACTCATGCTGACAATGTAATGTCAACATTGTTTATACTTCCACAGTGGTTCATCCTAGCAAAAAAATCCAGCAAATGCTCTTCCCTCATGTATTTCATAATAGTTCAAAATAAAAATGATTTATTGTATAAGTAACTGATAGATCTCAAGTGACCGTCTGCTTCTGTGTATTGTCAGGCAAATAAACACTCGTAAGTGAATGGTCAAAGGAAATTAGAAGACTATTCTGTAGCTATAGAGAGATCAGCTGGCCAGGGAAGGACTTGGAAAGTCAGTTTTTCAAGAATCATTGCTCTTCACAGAACTACTTTTTAAGCCTAAAGCTTTTTTTTTTTTTTTTTTTTTTTGCTCTGAACATAATTGCTTCATGCTAAGAAAAATTTCTGTATTTTAAGGACATCTTTGCACTTTTTCAAAAATCATAAAGAATAAAAGTCTTGCCTTTAATGGTGTTTTAATTAGCTGATATTTGCAGCTTGCTGGAAAATACTGAGGGATACCTTCCTGTCAGATGAAAACCAGCAATTCATTAAGGCTGGAGAAATAGTCATGAGCTGTCACCATATGCCTTTTCATATACCTTTAGTCCCCTGGACCAGTCAAACATCTGGTCCAGGTAGGTTTTTTTGGGTCTCTTTTCAGAGGAAAGAAACTAGTATCCTAGTTCATGAAGGTGGTTCATTCTGTGACGATGCACATGTTCAAGATGGGATGAACCACATTCTGGGGTGCTGGTCTTCTGGATCTGATAGCCTGAAGAATGACGTCCCCACTGCAGCAAACACTGTTAAGAATGGTTCTGCACATTCTGAACAGCAGACTTTTCCCCATTGTTTTGATCACTTCCTCCAGTTCTCATCTCCACTCCCTTGAGTTCAGAGGGGATAATTTCACAGAATTGTAGAATGCTTTGGGTTGGAAGGAACCTTCAAATACAATCAGTTCCAGCCCCACTGACACGGGCAGAGACACCTTTCACTAAATCAGGCTGCTCAGATCCCCATCCAGCCTGGCCTTGAACACTTCCAGGGATGGAGCATCCACAGCCTCTCTGGGCAACCTGTGCCAGTGGCTCACCACCCTCAAAGGAAAATATTTCTTTCTAATATGTAATCTAAATCTATCCTGTTTTAGTTCAGAGCCAGTATCACTTGTATTGACAGGTCAATACATTTCTCTGAAGTACCCTCTGGACAGAGGTACTTGTCTCACTCCAATGAAGGAAGAACTCCTTTTAGACCATCAGCTTAGAAAATACATTAAGTGGGGTAAAACTCTCCAGGAGTTTCACACTTTACCCATCTTTGGCTTGTTTAATAAAGATAGGCTACAGAAATACAGAACACTGTGTTAGATCCACTGTGGATAGATCCACCATGAAATAGGGGTGGCAGTGGTTTGGTCAGGGTATTTATCATAGCTATTAGGAATCAGTCTGATCCGTCCAATTCATTTGCCACAGAGCACAGCAAAGCTTTCAGATGCTAATGAATTTCAATATATCCTTGCAAATTAAAGTGTTACTACTTCCTAATTATCATCTGCTAATAATGATCCTCTTCTACAAGCAATCTAAAGAAAAATTAAAACTCCAGCTTGTCAGAGCATTTCTTTTCATCTGAGTACTCACCATTGGTTCTTCTCGGGAAAATGTTGTGGCAGAGAAATTACCAAGGAGCTTGCAATTAAGAGAGATTGCAGTGACAAGTCTGACACAATAGGAAAAAGGTTTCAGAAGGCACGTGGGGAGATAGAGGGCATCTCATTCATTTAGCACTGTAACACCAATGTGAAATGAAGTAATTAATTTGGGGACAGATTGGTTCTTTCACTCTGCCCTGCTGAATGTGTAAACAAAATTTCAGTTGTTCGCTAAGTGTTGAAGAATTCGACAGAATTAATTGAGGAAACCAACCCTCCACAATCTGTTAACATTTTTATGGTCAGATAATAATAGGACCATTTCAGGAAAGATCAGAGGCTGACTGAACAAAATTTCTTGTCTCTTACTCTGGCCAGAAGAGACACTTAGGGACAGGGTCAATGTGGTCTTCCTGTGCTAACGCTCCAGATTCTAGTCATCAGCATTTAGGGCAATTTCTGAAGAAGTTGCACCAGACCTGTGCTTATGTACCAGCATCAATTGGCTTAAAAACCATCCTGAACACCTAGATTTTTTCTTCCAGGCACTCTGTGCTAATAATTTCCACAATTTCTTTAGTCAAGTCATGAAAAAGAATGGTCCTTTTGAGGCCAAGCCACTGTTTTGTTGGCTTTTTCCTGTGTCTTTGCTAATTCTTTCCTGTATTGTAGTTCCCTTCTTAACCACTGCATAGCACAAAACTAATCTTGGCAGAAAACCTTTTGCAGGAATTCCAGAATCTTTTTGCTGTATGTTCTTTTTCAGATTGTCAGTGTATATGGGCAGTTAGGTTTTCTCCTTCCCCTGTGAATTCTTCTGTACTTACTGACATTGATTTTGATCTGACATTTTATTACTCAGTCATTCAGCATCCAGTCAGACAACAAAGGTCCAAATTTCGATTTCTTTTAAGCACCTGATTTCTCAGTTAAAAGGGGTTTCCCCCTTTTTCTTTTCCTAACTAGAGAAATATGCACCATGCAATCACTTTTAGTGGTTTGTCTTCTACAAGAAACTCACCATGTCCCGGTAGCTATTTGCAGCATAATGTTGTGCTGTCACCTCTTCATACTACAAGGTCCTGACATTTCAAGCAAATGTCATCACGTCAACTTTCTATCAGCACAGCTCACTGGTGAGATGCACATGGTGCTACAAGCCCTTATTTTGTGAGAGATCTCAGCTTATGCAAGGGGAGCCAGCATGATTTCATAGTGTATGTATTTCATATCTCAGAAGTTAAGGTTTGGATCTGCAACACTACCTGGGTAGTGGCAGCAGCTGTTTCCTCTTAGTAACTGTGAGGCTGAACTTCAAGCTGTATGCTGAAAGGCTGTAATTCCCTTATGTTCCTATGGAAACATGAGAAGAGCCTTCTGCCAAAGCAAGCCAAGGCCTTGGGTTTAACACGCATAACATGTGAATTACCCATTTCTGTGCCTGTTTGCAGGAGCCAGCTCCCAGCGCTGGAACTGTGCCTATATCAGAAAGGAAAAAGAAACGTCCAACCTAACCTCTACAGTCTGCTGCAAAGCATCCATGAGATGCTTCTTTCCCTTTTCACAGAAGTCATCCATCCAAAGACACTTGTCTGTGGGATAGCAGGGCTCTTCTCCATGATTAGTTTTGATTCCAAGACAATCAGCAAAATCAGGAAGGGATTGGAGCAGCTGCCACATAAGGAATGTGTGCAAGTGGGAATTTGGGGCTTTGACAGACTGCAAACTCTGCTCCCCTACAGAACATCTCAGGAAATGTGAGGAAATTGAGATTGCTTAGCCTCCGTGAAAGAGAGATAAGCAGAAAAGTGCTCAGTGATAAGAACACATACATGTACCAATGCCCTGGAGTGGGGTGATGAGTGGTAACTTTGCTATCCCACTTTCACTTACTTGGGTGTGCAAGCTCTTGGTCTAAGCTGGAATGCAAAATAAAGTTGTGCCCTATCAGCTGATCAGCGCTGGCTTGAGGGCCAAAGTGCATCCAGGTTATTATTACTGTAACTGGGTAATCAGATCAGCCATCAAACCCCAGCACTGCACACAGTGAGCCACTGCCAGCAGACGCTGCTGATAAATCCAATGCAATGCATATGGAATTAGCTAAGGGAGAAAATTCTGCCTCATTGAAAATCGTATTATCCAGCCTGCCACCCTTCACCGGCTTTTGGCTTGTCACACAGAGTAATGGACAGGCACCCAGAAAAATACTTGTTGTGAACCAAGGAATGGGTAAGAGGCTCTTGTGTTTGACAAAAGCCAATTAAGATCAACTAAACCTTCTATCATGCCTCTTCCAAAAAAAAGCATGCCTGCCATATTGCTTAAAGAGTTCAGTTGTGTTCCTGGTTTTTAAGCAAATGCCAGCAAACATGAAAGAACTTGACACTCAGTAGGCAAAATAATTAAGAGGAGCAGAGACCTTCAACAGCAGATGCCAGTGACAGGTGACATGTGCCAGTATCCTGGAAGGATCCATTGAAGAGGGCACAGTGCTGACAGATCTCATGGGAGGTGAAGATAGCTTGCTGAAAGCCATGGATGCCAGTGAGATATTGATGCTTATCCCATCAGAACCTTCTGCAAGCATTTAACGAAGTGCTAAAGTACAAGTGATGTGTTTATATTTATAGTGAGAATAAATGGCCTCCACTACTGTGGTTTCTCCCATAGCATTCATCAGATCATAGAATGGTTTGGATTGGCGGGACCATAAGGATCATCCAGTTCTTACCCACCCTGTGGGGGACACCTTCCACTAGACCAGGTTACTCAAAGCTCGTCCAACCTGTGCTTGAACACTTCCAGGGATGGGGCAGCCACAATTTCTTCAGGAAACTTTTGCCAGTGCCTCACTATCCTCACTAAATTCAGATGTTCAACAGTTACCTTGTGCTCCTCTTCAGGGCTCTTGTTTCATGGCCCTGCAAAAATGAGTCCTTGGCATGAATTCAACACAGGTATTAAAGTGTAGGACTAGAGGCAATCTTTTAGGTCATTCAGTCCTGTCATCCATTATCTCAACAATCCTGCTATATAATCCTCTCCAAAATTAATGAACTTCATCTTGAAAGCAGCAAGTAATTTTTTTCCTCACTGCAGTAGAGGCTATTCTGAAACCACACAGCTCTGATGATCAAATATCCAATGCAGGTCAAAGTGATGCCCTTCAAACAGGGTGATGCTGTGAAAAAGTAACAAAAATGCTGGTTTTGCCTCCTGGCAATAATACACAGCTCCCATTCAGCTCAGTGATCTGAAACACCAGTTTTCTGACTCCTAATTGACTTGGAATCAACAGGTTGCAACCATGTCTGAATCCCTTCCTTTATCTCAGCTCAATGCAGAAGTTTGTTCTTTGTCTCAAACAATGACTCAGTCCTGATGTTTTTCTGCAAGGCTAGATAATCTTCTGTGGATTTCCTTATAATCAAATCTGCTATGTTTTTCGACATATCACCTACCTCCATGGCTTCCAGCCCATGCAATACGTACAGTGCTGGCTGAAGGCCATGATTTTAGTTGCCAAAGCAATCAGAGGATTAGTCCCTACTCTATGAAAATCTAGAATTTTTAATCTGTGAGCTGCTGCATCTGTACTTCACAGCAGAGCTCACAGAGGATGGAGACTGAGGGTGTAGATATTTCGAATAAGGAGATCTGGCTACAAAACAGCATTTTGGAGGAACACAAGGTCTGATCACTCCTCAAACATTCTCAAAGCTTTCTATCTGAAATGGAATTTCTATCATTTCTGTCACCAAGATGACAGCCAAAGAGACAGTCTTGTGAGGATTCAGCTCAGTAATTTAATCTGCCTATAATAGAAATGTTTTCTTTAGAGATATTTGCTGTAGTATTCGTTTATAGTCAAATGGGAGGAAAAGGTGTTTCTAGCAGGCTTTGTATAATCTCTTGGGGATATGGGCTTTCGGGTGATACAAATTGCACTCTCAAAGTAGATTTCTCTCTCCACTGATTAGAATAGCTTCAGATACTTGCTTAGATGTACAATGCAGATGGCTGGCTTTTGCCAAGTGGTTGTTAACCTTGAAAGCAAAAGAAACCAAACAGGGAGATCCTAATATTCATATATTTCAAGCAGAATTTTTGCTTGCGTAGAAAAAGATGTTACAGGCCTTTACCTTACATTTCTGGTTTTTACAAGATTTTAGTGTCTTTAACACACTCAAATACTATGCTGACTGACATTCTGCCTCTATAGGGTAGATGAGGTGAATGACTATGGAGTTATTTTAATTTATACTTGCACAAAGAGGAGGTGAATAGAGCCCCTAACTTCTTATTCATGCCTCAGTCATGACCTTTCTCTGTGCCCTTGTGAGAATTGCATTGTCTGTTATTTTTCTGATATGTAAAATTAGAATGATCACACTCATAGATTGTTATGAGGTCTAATTAGAAAGTGTAGAGCACTATCTGCAGGGCAAGAAATGAGATCAGCAGCCTGTAACTACTGTCAGCAGACCTCAAATCCACTGACAGGAGTATGTCTACAAAGGAGGTTTGAGCAATGAAATTAATCACTAGCAGAGTTCAGAATCAGGTGAAACATTGTATATTATAAGGATTATCCTAGGGAAAACCCTTTCTCATTTATCCCTCTGGAATTTGATTGACCTGATGGATCTTTCACAGCCTTTCTTTATCACCATTTTTGAAAGATTCATCAGTGTAACATTTTTACATGCATGGCTTACCATTCATAGCATGAGCAATAAAACAACCAGGTTTCTGAACATGCAAGACATGCAGTTATAAGAAAACCTTTTCATTTCAGCAGTTCACCGAATGCCATGCCCTTTTCCAGGAGCGAGCAGGGATTTCTGAATTGCATTGAAAAGTGCCTTCCATGGAATGGTGCCAGCTCAAAGCTCTTGATAGCCACATGCCCAACTCTCCTCTCATCCATGTGGAATGCCATAAAATATATTGCTCCTCATGTCAGGCCGCCATCACTTTCTGACTGTCTTTCTTTGTTCTTTTCCAGGCATCACTGTGGACAAGTTTGGGCTGATTTACTTTGTGGATGGCACCATGATCAGACGGATTGATCAGAACGGGATCATCTCAACCGTGTTGGGTTCCAATGACTTGACATCTGCTCGGCCTCTCAGCTGTGATTCTGTTATGGACATTTCTCAGGTAAGACAGTAGTTTGGTTTTGTTTTTACAGAATGCAAGCCTACACCTTCACCCTTATCTGCATGTCTCTGTGCTTCCCCAGCAGGTCTGACAAAGAGGTAAGGGCTCAAGGAGAGTTGCATTTCTACATAGTTTATGATATAAAATTGACTGGATCATAAAAGAATTACCCTGTAAAGACATAAGGAAACACTTGACTGCTCTAACTCATAGATTTCTGGGGGTGAGATTTTTAAAGATGTCCCAGCCAGAGAACTGACTTCTTTCAGTGTTTCCAGTCAGTGGGAAAGCACAGATTCCTGGCAAGGCAGGTTGTTATGATCATGTCTGACTGTACACCATGGACTATATGCCATGGACTGTATGCCATGCTCCATTAAACCATCTTAGCTAATCACAGGTTTTTTTCTTTTCTTCCCCTCATCCTAATTTGGCCCAGCACAATTTTAGACCTGAATCAAATTAACATAGGAAATATTGATTGGAGGATGTGGTGCCAAAATTAGCAACAGCAGGAAAACAAGAATCTTGAATTGCATCAGTTTGCAAATTGGTTGCAGCTACCACCATGCTGGGCTTTTAAGTCCTGCTGCTTCAAGGTGGAGAGAAAAAAAGAAGAAAGAAAAAGAAATCTCATTTTGATTTTGATTGCTTTACTGCTGGATGCTGCAGAAGAGAAATCTGTTACAGCTCTGCACTCAGTTTTGTGTGGCACTGGCCAACTTGTCAAATTGTGCCAGTTTAGGACAGTGTCCTTTGAAACCTTTGTGCCACTTGTTGTTTGCCTGACTGCAGAAATGTTGTCCTCTCCTATGAAAATATAGATCATAGCTGGAGGGCTAAGTACTGTTATTCAGCCACAATAGATGTCAATGGGGTTTCCTTTTTGTAGCTACCTCGATAATTTCCATGCTTCCATATGGAATCTGTTCTTGTTTTTTCCCTCTAATTTGAAAAGTTTATTCTTGCTTCCTTGCAACTGGCTCCCACTGTCTGTAATTTATGAACAAGCTGAAATTGTAAAAAATTAAAAGTTAAATTTTAAAGAGACTTTAAAATATTTTCTGTCTTCTATAGAGGGGAAATTTTGATGGTTAAAGGCCACCTTGTAGTATGTTTCTCATCTTACAGACGTAATTTCTTCTTCATGTGAATTTCAGGGTCAGCTAGCACAAGACGGTCGTATAATCAGGCTTTAAAAATTATTTATTTCCAGGTTATGTAGCTCTTATGTAAACCAATGTCATGTTCGAACACTTCTGAGATGAACATGTATCAGCTGAAAACTCTTTTTTTTTCCTTTCATAAAATGACAGGAACCATTTTTAGATTAACCTGTACTGGGATTGGCAGATTAACCACTCCTGTTCTAGAGAAACATACTGAATACAAGCTTAATTAAAAAATAAATCCAGCTTGGGAGGCAGCTTTTCATCATTTACAGCAGATAGAAGGGTCTTTTCTGCCAGGTCCCTGAGGCTCCCTGGGACATGAGGACATGAAATATTTAGCTGCCGCTGTTGACAAGGAATGGTTTTTAAGAAATTGAAAATTCCCTTGTCAGTTTAGAATAAACTCAGCTCTTGATGCTAACTGAAGACTGCAGAGCTTAAAGACCACTGGAAGGGATGGAGGCATGAATTATTAAAGAGAAAACCACAGGCTATAATGTTTTACTACAAGAAGGGTTAAAATAGGCCAGGAGCTGAGAAAAGGAAGGAGATTTTGCAAGCAGAGAAGCAGCATAGACAGAGCTCAGCAAACTGCTTAGCAATGAATATAAGCCTCACACACTCAAGCGCTAGAAGACACAATGAACTAAATACCTTACATCTGATCTTTTAAAATAAATGCTGAAAAGGCAAATAGAAGCATCAAAATAAAGCATGGCTGTAGCAGAGATGTTGAACTACAGGCCTTAAAAATAGGAATTTCCTGTGTTCCTGAATCTTATCTGGTCTCTTCTTTCTCAGTTTTAAATAAAATCGCAGTGAAAGATGCTTTCATGGACCTGAGTCTGCTGGCATCCACTCCTCCTCCTTCCAAGAAGGTTAAAAAATACTCCTCTAAACTTAGTCACATCAGACAAACGAGAAGAAGCAGCAACTGAGATGGATGGTGTGAAAATAAGGTTCAAAACAAAGAAACTATACTGGAATTGATAGGTTCCCATCAGCACAAGACTGGTTTTTTTTTATATATAAACCTAAAGTCAAATAAAATAATCAAAAAAATGCACAACTTGGACTTTTTATCCAAAAAAAGTTCTGAAGTCTGTTGGCAAACGTTTCTTAGGTTCGTCAGCTGAAAGAGAAGACTTACTTGAAAAGAGAGTATTGCAGAAGCAGAGCTAGAAATTAAGTCATTGCAGTGCTTACTCACTTATGGTGTTGCCAGTCACTGTTTTAGAGGATTATCAGTGTAGAACTGGGATATGTCACTCCTGAACCCATTTTTCCATTATGTTAAAACAAAATGTGAAAATCACCGTGAAGGCACAAGTATTGTACTCCATTGCCTGAAATTGCCTGAGTTTCTTGTGAATTGCTATTCTGCATTTTTGCAGCATAAAGCAGAAAACTGTGGGTTATAGCAGATATTCACACATGCTGGCACAGCTGCCAGTTTTGTGTCTATCCCTCCTTGTCATTTACCAAGAGGAGTTCAGCCGCTTGTGTGAAAAATCCTTTAGTAAAAGAATCACTGTTCTATGTGTCTGATTTCATAGCACTTCATATAGCAAAATTTAATCCCAGGTCTCTGCTATCTCTTCCATCAATTCAAAAAGCGCAGGAGAGGGAAAATCATAGAATGGTTTGCCTCTGTCCATCATCCTGTTCCCACCAGCATTCCAGTGCAGAGTGTGGTGTCCCCCTGTGACTGCTTGATGTGACCAGGAGCTAAGCCCTCTCACTCACAGCAGGTTATATCCTCTATGGTCACCTATTAAGTAATAATTAGGTGTGGGGTTTTTCATCCATTCCCCCTTTAATCCATGTAGATTCCATCCTCATTGTGATTGATTTATAGCAATCATGCAGTAGATAAATGTCTTGCTATAAAAATTCCCTTGTGTTTTTTTACCATGAAGGTTCGTCTGGAATGGCCCACGGATCTGGCAGTGAATCCCATGGATAATTCACTCTACGTCCTCGATAACAACGTCGTGCTGCAGATCTCTGAGAACCACCAAGTGCGCATTGTGGCAGGGAGGCCCATGCACTGCCAGGTGCCAGGCATGGATCACTTTCTCCTCAGCAAGGTGGCAATCCACGCCACGCTGGAGTCTGCCACCGCCCTGGCCGTGTCCCATAACGGAGTCCTGTACATCGCTGAGACGGACGAGAAGAAGATCAACCGCATCAGGCAGGTCACCACCAACGGGGAGATCTCCCTGGTGGCCGGCGCCCCGAGCAGCTGCGACTGCAAGAACGATGCCAACTGCGACTGCTTCTCGGGGGACGATGGCTACGCCAAGGACGCAAAGCTCAACGCGCCGTCCTCCCTTGCCGTGTGCGCGGATGGGGAGCTGTACGTCGCTGATCTGGGGAACATCCGAATCCGCTTCATTCGGAAAAACAAACCGTTCCTCAACACACAAAATCTCTATGAGTTATCCTCACCCATAGACCAGGAACTCTACTTGTTTGACACCAGTGGGAAGCACCTCTATACTCAGAGCCTTACAACTGGAGATTATCTTTACAATTTTACTTATTCTGGAGATGGAGATATAACCCTGATCACTGACAATAATGGCAACTTGGTCAATATCCGAAGAGATTCCACAGGGATGCCCCTCTGGCTGGTGGTGCCTGATGGCCAAGTCTACTGGGTGACAATTGGTACCAACAGTGCACTCAAGAGTGTAACAACACAGGGGCATGAAGTAGCCATGATGACTTACCACGGCAACTCTGGTCTCCTTGCCACTAAAAGCAATGAAAATGGTTGGACAACATTTTATGAGTAAGTATTTTATGAATATTGGGACTGCTGGCTTCATTCTGTGTTCTCTGAACCGTGCAAGGTTGGTAGAATTTAATTCCCTGATCAGAATTACTGTCCAAATAAAATGGCCTGAACAGAGAGTATTGGATTTCATGCAAACACTAGATACTGGCAGTAGATGAATTAGAGCTTGAATAAGCTCCCTCTACCAAGTCAAGAGTCAGACAGAATTTCTGCTGAGTTTAAGTAATTTGGACAACTGTTTCTCCTTAACTGTAGTCAGGACTGGAGATTTAGGTTGCATGTCAGAGAATTTTTCTTGGCTTTGAAAGCCTTGGAAGTATGAAAGTTCCATCAGAGCCTCTTTTTCCACAGCTTTTCACCTACCTCCTGCTGCAGTGTCTTTTTTGAGCCTGTTTGAAATGTCTGATGTAGAATGACAATTGGCAATGACTAATGAGAGCTTGCTCTGGAAACAATTCTGTAATTAATGAACTGCTCAATTCCTACTGTTGCAATTTGCCTCACTAAGCTTTAAAAGTAGTCTTGGAAGTGTTCAAGACTATCCCCAAAGAGTTTTTAAGCAGAGATAAGATAGGATGCATTGAAAAATCCAGAGATGGCAGTATCTGAAATATTTGTACTTCTCTGTACTACCGTTAGCAATTCCCTGCTTAGAAATATCATGAAGCAAACATCACATTTCCGATAAAAAAAAAGGATGAAGATCAATAGCTAGATTAAGAGCACCTAGAAGGATTCATCCTGCTGTTGAGAGCCCTTTGCCCTCCCTCTTCCTTAGTTTAATTTTTATTTGCAGGTGTAACCTGTTTGAAATGCTCCTTTAAGTGCATCATTTCCCACGTGGTTTGAATGGTTACATGGAAGTGTTCAGCTGCCATAATAATAGATCCATTGTAAGAATCCAATTTGGATAGAATAGACACTTCCCAAGATGACAAACAAAAAAATTGTTGAGAAAAAAAGGGATTCAGGAAAGGAAAGCTGGCTAAGCCCACCTATTCATGTGTTGATATGTGATTTTCTCCTTAAAATGTTCCAGGCCCAGTTTCAAATTTCTTTGCTTAATACTCACTGCTCCTACTCTTGCCTTGAAAAGAATTGATGGAAAATCTGTGATGAATCTTTTGAAATGTTATTAGCATTTCATCAATGTTCTGCTTGCAATTACTGTAGCAATATTTCTCAGTGAATCCAAGTTAATATTCTCCATCTCTTATATTGAATTTGCTTGAGGAAGGCCTTAGGGAGGAAAAAGAGGGTGTTTTTCTCCACTGGAGTGAAAGCCAGCTATATTGTCAGGACCATTGTGCTAAATGAAGGAGGTATTTTCTTTTTGCAAAGAACCCAATAGTTCCTGTGCTTGAAAACAGATGCAGCCACAGACAGTGGAGCAAACTAAACATTACAGCTAATAATGGTCAGATTTATCCCTCAAACATAATCTTTTATTTTAAAGTGCAACTGAAAATATAAAGGAGATAAGACAGAAGCTCAAAACCAATTTGCTCTATGGATATATTTATAACAGTGATCCATTATTTCTTGCTGTCCAGCAAAATAGAGCATTTGTGAAAGTCATCATTCTGGTACTTTTATGCACTTCAGAAGAGTCATAAGAAAGCTTTTTAGAGCTAAATGGAAGACAGTATTCTCTAGTGGCTGGACTATGAAAATCTTGACTAGAGCAAGTCAGCACTGTATGATAGCACAGCATCACTGAATATAGAATTGTGACTGTGCCTTCAGAGATACCTCATCCAAACCTGTGATCACTTATCTCTTTAACTGTTCCTGACAGTTTCTGATGCAACTATACAAAACAACAGGGTAAAAGTCTATATCTGAATTAGTTACTTCAGCCTCCCTTTACAGGCAGGTGGAGAGAAACACACCTGTTCAAGGTGAGTTTCTTACGAGTTATGTCAGGTATTGCCTTTAAGATGAGAAGAGTTGTATTCTGAAAGTTTATCTTTGCAAAGGTCATAGAGAATAATGAGTTCAGATACAGATGTTTACGTTGCAGATGTCTACAATTTGGTAAAGTGGATCCTATCAGTCATCTGAGTTATTTATAAATATTGTTAGTGATAATGTATTTAGGTATATTATTGTTACTGTTAGGAAGCTTTTTTTGTATGCCTAAATCTTCCATGCTTGAATTGGAGACTATTCTTTTTCATGCCATTCTACCCTTTCATATCCTATCCTATCCTATCCTATCCTATCCTATCCTATCCTATCCTATCCTATCCTATCCTATCCTATCCTATCCTATCCTATCCTATCCTATCCTATCCTATCCTATCCTATCCTATCCTATCCTATCCTATCCTATCCTATCCTATCCTATCCTATCCTATCCTATCCTATCCTATCCTATCCTATCCTATCCTATCCTATCCTATCCTATCCTATCCTATCCTATCCTATCCTATCCTATCCTATCCATCCTGTCCTGTCCTGTCCTGTCCTGTCCTGTCCTGTCCACCTGGAAGGCAGATCAGTCACTTGGGACTTGGAAGGCAGATCACTGAATTAGAGGGATTGATTCTGTCCAGTTTTGCATGTGTAACCAGGGAAAGAATATAAAATCAGACTGATGAAATTAGAATATGAAATAAGAGTGAAATATTTCAATTGCTTGGTAAAGTAGGTTTCATTTAAACAAAATATATTCTTGTATAGTCTGATGTCAGGGTACACGTGTAAGTGGGCTGAGTCTTGGCTCTCAGAATTGTAGCGAGGCATCAAGTCTTCAGTGTGATCCTCACATGATTCCATGGCAAATCTGTCCAACTTGTTGCTTGGATGGACAAAGTAAATGAATACATTTACTCATCACACTCTACTTGTAGTGGCTAGTAGGAAGCTGATTTTTTTTCCCTGTGAAGTGTTGATGTGACTAATATTTTCAGCTCATAAAAATGTAGTTAATGAAGAACAGTGGAATTTGAAGGCTGGGCAGAGAAACTCTTAAAAAATTCATTCATGGGAAGAAAATAAAGACTTGATCTATTTATCTCAACAGGAATGAGACTGGGAAGTGTCCAGATCACAACATGTCAGCCAAAGCTCTCACCTAAAGAGGGACTCTCAGTGTAACAGAGAAAGGCTTGAGAAGGATATGGGGCTGGAAAGCAAAGCTAGAGAAATTCAAGTTGACAAGAAGATGTGATTCTGTAAGGCTGATGATTTAACTGGTAGAGTGACCAACCATGAAAGCAGTATATTTTCCATTTCTTGGTATCTTAGATCAGGACTCTGATGCCTTTCTTATAATATAATCTCACCAGAGAGAGGATTTGCATGACTAAAACACAAGCTGCAGAGATGAGTGCAGGCATGGCAGGATGAAGTCTGAATTCCTTGTTATCAAAGAAGCTGAAGAAGATGGTGTAAACGAAATAAAATCAAAATACACTACCTTCATTTTATTGTTTTCTCTAGCAGAACATCAGCAAATGTACGTTGGGAAGGCTTAAGTGGTTTAGAGGATTCCTGTGAACAGAAGTGGCTGGAAGGTGAACTAAAGGAGTTTTCAGTCTTAACTGAGGAGAAGGGTGAAGTTCATACTTCTGTTTTGCTCATGGCCAAAGAGATCAAGGCATAAAATCTGACTCTGAGGAAAAGTTTCATGTTTCTCACATAGCACACAATAGTTGTTTGCTGGCCAGGGCAAGCTGGACACTGCTGCCTAGAAAGTTAAGAGTAAAGTAAATCCAGCTGGCAAGTTTACACTGCACCAGTGGCCCTGACTGTCTACAAAGGACCATAAATCAGAATACCAGTGGTGTTGTGAGAGTGGCATCACTACGTGTTCATCATGGAATCACAGTATCATAGTATGGCTTGGGTTGGAAGGGACCTGAAGAACATCTAGTTCCAGCCCACAGAGCCAGCCTCTCTGGTTCTTCTACAGGTGCTGTTCTTACCAGAGCATTACCATAAGGCTGCAAAGAGCTCTGACATGTGAGCACATTGGTGTGACTGGAAAGGAGGGAAGGAGGCAGGATGTACTGATGCAGTACTGGAGGTCTGTGTCCAGGGCACACCAGGGAATCCAGGTCCTCCAAGGCTTCATGCTGGACTGGCACATTGTCCCTTCATTTCTGTGGGGAAAGAGACCAGTGCTGGCTTCAGGCAGTGGCAGACTCACTCACAGCATTTACAGCTCTTCCTTTCACACATCCTACACCCAAGCCTGCTCTAACAATCCTGTTTTATCAGGTTTAGCTCTTGAGTAAGACTCAGTGTATAATGGCGTGCAGTTTCCCTTTCTGAGAGTGAAACTTAGCTCCCCACAGTAATTAGCCTGTCTCCAAAGACCTGTCTATGACTCCTTTGAGGGTTTTGGCATTGTATAGACCTTTCCTGCGCCTGCAGTGGGCTTGACATTAGCTGTCAGTTAATGCAATGCAGCTCAGCTTGTCCAGTAACTGGATTAAAGACTTTTCTTCCCATTGAACTGGTGACAGTAACAGAGTTAATCAGCAGCAAAGGAAGTTGATCTGGAAACTCAGCCAGGGAAACGACTTCTTGTTCAACTCCTCCGGTAAAAGACAAAGGATTCTGTGTGACTACTTGCTGCTTTGTTGTTGCTGCTTTTCAACTTGACCTGAAAAAATTGCTACCCGCCTTTACAAAGTTTCTTAGCAGTTGCTGTTTGTCTGCTTCAGAATCCGGAAATTCTTATTAATGATTTGTTTAAATCAAGAATACGGCAATTATCTTGATTAGTTCACTGAGATGCTATCACTGTACATTAATTCAATTTCCCTCTGAGCCAAAGTCAAATCTTCTATGCATTATTTAGCCCAGATGGGGCTCTTTTACTTAGGTTCTTTGTGTATCCAATTAGTTTTGAAGGTCGCGCCTCCTCCTGTACAGACTCAAACACTTACACATTGCTCCAGCCAAACCCAGAAATTCAAACCCTTTTCACAGACTCCCCAAGAAGTGTCTCACAGCTGTCTGGAGGGCAAAGGGTTTTATGG